TTGATAACCGAATAATGCAGTTTTTATATGGAAAACTAATATTTTATCATGGAAATTGGTATTTGAACGAATAAAGTTTATATACATATGCTGGCATATACTTTCTTAGTGATTTTTTAAATTCTTCCTCTAGTGACTTCAGCCCTGGAAGGTCAGCTGTCAGTTCTTCAGAACTTTCAAATTTTGGAAGAGATTGAGATTGTGATATGTATCTTTTCAGTAGCAGATTTTAATCAGAATGTCTAAACTGATCTGATTGACTTATTACCGTTTCATAAAATAGTATATTGTACATAAAATTGTATTTTTGAAACTTCATTCTCTTATGACATTCTTACAGAAACACAAATTTCAGCTTAATTCAGCTGTTTAAAAATTAAAAGTTTTAAAATTCAGTAAATCTATGTATATTATAATAGGGAACCTATCTTTATTATACTTTACACATAATAACTGGTGAGCCTTGAAGTCCTTTAGGTGTCAGTTTGAAGGCTTCTCATACCTTACGTGATTTAACTTTTTATCATACAAAATTTTATGAATCATTATTTGTAAGCCATTTATCGATAAAATGAGACATACATAAGAGCCAGTATTGACATCTTCAACATTTTTTTTAATAAATAGGTTTTTAGAAAAATTGTAGGTGATCTATATTATAATACAGAATTAGAAATCTATAGAGATATCATTAACCCAGTGTAGTTTAAACAATTAGCAGATCATTTATTCATTCATTTACTTATTTATTGTGAAAGTGGAGTCACAGGTAGCTCAATGAAAACAAAGCATTGAAGACAGGATCAACATGGTGCCTCATAATTCTTTTCAAGTGTAACATTGTTTTAATGGAATCTTGGAGTGGGAGCTTTAGCCCATTGAAATGTCATTTGGAAAACAAGTTCTTCTGACACTAGCCGAAGCTGTATGGATTAAATGATAACAATGGAGTGTCGTGGTGCATTTTAAAAGTGTGAGAAATCAGTTTGTCTAGACTGAGAATGTGTCTACAGGACTAGAAATTTTAGAGCCTCTGTGCCCTTTAGGTGTCAAGTGTGTGAGAGATGCCAGGCCTTTTTATTCTTTATCTTTGGCCGCAGCTCATCTGGGCTGCAGTACCTTCCACTTCTAGAGGCAGAAGCAGAGATGCTGTCAGCACGATTTAGGCTTCAAAATTCAGAAACTCAAAAGGCCAACTTGAAATTGGGAGAAAATATCAATAAATAACTGCCATGACTTGAGAGGACATGAAAGATGGGCAGTTCAGAATTCAAAATATGAAGAGTTGATAAGCAACATTTGATAGCCATTTTGAAAATAAGCTTCTCTATCCTAAAATTCATTTTGCCCTTTTCTTTATAGATAATAAAAATCTATAATCTCATTTCCCTGAGGTAACTATTGCTAAGAATTGCTTTTTCATATAGTTCACTTATTTATTTTTAATTTTTTAAAGTTAAAAAATTCCTTAATATTTTATTCCTGGTGGTACTACCACAGTTTACACGGCAGTATGTCTTATACAGTGAAAAAGACAAAGCTACAATAGATAAAAGAACTCAGTAATGTCCGTCTAATTGACACTACATCACATTAATCATTGCTGCAGTTTTTGTAGACTGGCCATGACCATCCTGAACCAGAAAAGTTTCCTGTTTAAGCTGCAGTAACTTTTCTGACTGGATTGTTGTTCCTTCTGTGGCAGATTTTTACAGTTCCCTTTAATATATTTGGGACAACTAACTTGGAGCTCTCCTGACAACTCCTTGTTCTCTCTTCTGCTAAGAACTGTAGCCCTTTGCTGTTGTTTAAACCATTTTGGTACCATATCTACTAATTCCACCACTAGATCCAGAACCACCACCACAGGGACTACCAGAGGTTCTTCCATCAAAACTGTTCTCCTTCATGGGTCCATAATTTAATGGCTGTTGTAAACTACAGTTTCCAAAAACGTTGTAGTTCCCACCACCACCACAGTTACTACCACCAAAATTTCCTCTGTTGTAATCATTATATCCTCCTTCACCATCACCATATCCACTACCTTGGTTTCCATATCCTAGCCCATCACCACCATAGCCTCCTTGGCTTCTGTAACTAGAACCACTGCCATAGTTTGCACCATCATCTCCAAGTCCATTATATGCACCATCACCTCCATAACTACCTCTGCTGCCATCTCCCCCTGTACTATAGCATCCTCTTCCATGAAAGTTTACACTATGGCCATAATTTCCTCCACCACCTCCAAAGTTTCTTCCACAACCCATAAAGTTGCCAGACCCACCTTTATCACTTATTTGTGATCCAGCAGACTGCAGTCTCTTGTGTAGGAAGGGCCTTTGTCACTTCACAATTATGCCCATCAATAGGTATTTCTGAACAATTATGTCAACTATTGTGATTGTCAAATATTGCAAAAGCCAATCCCCTCTTTTTTTCTACTCTGCCTTAACTCCGTAACTCCTGTGATTTCAGTCTTTCCATACTTTCTGATTTTTTTTTTTGGTTGGTTGGTTGGTTTGTTTTGTTTTTGAGACAGGGTCTCACTATGTAATTGAGACTGACCTGGAACTCACTACGTAGCCCAGGCTGGTCTCAAACTCACAGAGATCCTCCTGCCTGAGGCTCCCAAGTGCTGGGATTACAGGCGTGCGCCACCACACCCAGCTTTGCCATACTTTCAAAGTAGACTTTAAACATATTTTTCTCTATTTTCTTTAATACCACCATTACAGTCCCATCAACTTTGTGTGGCTCAGCACACATTGCTACATCCACCTCTTCAACACGAGTTGTCACAGAACCAAAGCCCTTTGTATTTTGTTTGAGGATAACTCATTACCACACAGTCTGTGAGTGTGCACCAGTTCTTAAAATGTTCTCTTAAACTATTATCTGTGTTTTCAAAGCTCAGACCATCAATAAACAGCTTCCTCACCTGTTCTGGTTCCTTTGAATCCTGGGCCACTTCACCCAGTGAGGTTAGCCAGAGTCTGACTGCAACAACCAGGCAGAGGCTTTACCTCCATTTTGAGGCCAGACTCGCCTCTTCCAACCTAAGTTCTATTATATAGTTAATTTTAAAAAGTCAAGTAATGTACAGTTTCAGTTCTTTGGAATTTAGAATGGAAAGGGCTTGCTGATTGTAGAAGATGCCCAACCCCACTACTGTAATGTTTATAGTACTTGGTTATACCTTGCTTCAACTATAGCTGAAGAAATAAGATATTAATCTAACTATATAATAGTAAATAATAAGCTAATGTGGTAAACTGAAAATATAGTGAATTCAAATGGGGAAATAAGTATTGAAGACCTCCCAGGGCTGTCACTTCATGCTCTTTAAGTAGAGGACTATGCTTTAGAAAGTTAAAATCTAATAATTTTTTTAAAAATTTTTTTGTTTTTTTCAACACAAGTCTCACTACATAGTACATACTGGCCTCTAACTCAGTCCGTCTATCTCAATTTCCCAATCCTCTTGGGATTGTTAGACTGGCTTAAAATTAAATGTATATGAAGTTGAATCTGACAGAAATTACCAATAAAACTTACATTCACATTCTTTAAAATTATGTATCAATTGTGCTTGTTTTTACTCTATCTTAGACATAAATTTTTAACAAATATATGTATTTATTTATATTAGAAGTACATATATGTATAGATATTTATATGGATCATTTTGATCATTTCTTTAAACAGGCCATACTGAAGTAGCCATACCAAATTGATGCAGGTACAAAGGTAATGTGTTAAGCAGAGGATTGCTTGGCAACTGAAATAACTTTATTATTTTAACCTTGTAGGTTGAGAAACCAGTCAACTCAGCAATGAGCATAGATAGTAATTATTTGGTTCGTAGCATGGACAGACTACAAATAAACAGCCTTCATTAGGAGATAAGCGATAATGAAATTCACAAAATAGATTAACTTTTCTAGTTTAATCATTTTCATTCTCTTTCTTGGTTTTAATCAGTTATTCAGAATTTACTTTAGTAAGGGAACTCTTTATTTTTAATATTGTGCTTGGGATTGGACCCAGATCCTTGCACATGCTAGACAAGTGTTCTACCACTGTGCTATATATTCCTATGCCCTAATGATTTTTAAATGATTTATTAATAAGAATGACATGATTTTTAAGCTCTGTGACATCTATTATTTTTTATTTTGACTGCCATACATTTTCACAAGTCTGAAGCATCAAAATTCTGTGCATTCCTCAGTTGAGCATTTATTGGATAAAAGTACAGAAAAAGAGATAAACTTATTTTCATTTCAAATGTCTGCAAAAATTATGCAAATTTTTTGTCTTTGCAGGTAGATTGGATGTAACATTCTTTCAGTGGGTTTCACCAAAGGGAAATAAAATGCTAATTAGCTATTTTAACTGTTTTCAGAAAGGCTTAGGCCTCTCTCTGAAGGTAACACCCTTTAATAAGCAATAAAACTTACATTACAGAAACCACTGGTAATAGATTTTTTTTCTACTTGAAATTTATTTACTTTTTGTATCCACTCATTTATATCCCCTTATACCTTTTCTCATTTGAACAGTTATATCTCCTCAAAGAATAAGACTGTCAACTGCTGGTTCTACCAGCAGTGTGTTCAGAAATTATAGTATAGGGCTGTAGATGTTTGTACCACTAGGCAGAGCACTTGCCAGGTATGTAAAGTCCTTGGGTTTGCTCCCTAGCATAGAAAAGGCGGGGGGGTGCCAAAGTTTTGTTGTACAGAAGGGGCCTAAAATTTTTTATGACCCCTTTCCCATTGTTCCCTAATACTACCTTTCAAATATATCACTTACAGATACTGACATAACAGTTTGTACAGTAAAATATCAGAGAAGCAGTGAAATAAGCCAGAAACTTTAACCCAGTTTATAAATAAATGTAGGTAGAACTGCAAGAATACAGGGAACAACAGAAACATGTTAGCAGGTGTGTGGACTATTTGAAACATCTTTATTCTTTTTTTTTTTTTTAGGATATCACTACCTTAACTGGTGTTCCAGAGGAACATATCAAAACTAGAAAAGTCAGGATCTTTGTTCCTGCTCGCAATAACATGCAGTCTGGTGTAAACAACACCAAGAAGTGGAAAATGGAGTTTGATACCAGAGAACGATGGGAAAATCCTTTGATGGGTTGGGCATCAACGTGAGTACTTTGGTTAACGTGAATTTTGTTTTCAGCTTTCTTTTTCTATGTAGATTTTTCTTCAAAATCACTTTTCAAACTCCTATGTACAATGTGCTTATGACAATAATACATTTTGATGTTTGGAATCACTATAACCAAAGATAGTTCTCCATATATGTTTTGTATTTATATTCATATGACTGTAGCTCAGTACAATAAACTACAGAAATACTGTTCTAAATACTATTTATTGGCTAAAATGATGAACATTATAAGTATTGTTAGTGTGGTATTCAACCTGTGTGTATTCATTTAGGATACTACATGAATAGTAATGATTTAGTGATACTTTGTTTTAAAATTAATTTAAATTTCTTTATTTGTTTCGTTTGTAGGGGGATGGGAACTGAGTTCAGAAATTAGCTAATTAAAAAGAAACCTGTAAATTTCTGAAATCTTGTAAATTATGGTACATTGAAATAAATTCTTGAAGAACATCTTTTCTCAAATCATTACACTTGTGAGAATTTTTCCTTAAAATATCTGCCATGTTACAATTTAAATAGAAATATATTTCATTATGTAAATAATACAGAGGCATACTTTTAGGTGTTTTGATATCCTTTCAATTTTACGTTTCTTGCAATATATGGAGTTCTTGTGTAAATCACATGCTTTTACAGACTAAAGAAACTTATAAGGAAAAACTTTGTCCATACCCAGTGATTGAAATGTTATGATTATTCTTTGAGTCACATAAGATTTTAATATATTCATTGATATCTAGGATTCATTGTAATAATGCATTTCCAGCAACATTCAGTAATAAATAACATACTAGTTTTACCTGATATACTCTAAATTGTTTGAGTAAGATACTTTATGTAAGAGCACAAACTTGAATATTAAGGAGTAAAAAAATAACATCTTTTCTTTACTCCAGTACAAAGTTTGTGGCTGAGGTACTTAAAACAAGATAGATTAAAAAGAGAACAGCATACAAAATCATTTAATGTAAGTTTTACTTTATAGGAGCCTTTAAACAAAAACCCAAAGAAACAGAAACTTTGTATTTTCATGCTTAGATGTGATGGAGATTAGACAGTTATGTAGAAGTATGATGGGACAAAAGGGTATAATCTAATAGTAATAAACAGGGAGAACTTAGGACTATTTGTTTAGATTCTTGTCTGTGTTCCAGTATCTTCAGAGATAAAACATTCTTTTCATCTGGGTGTAGGGTGGGCATTTCTGGAATAAGGGATCTTAACAACGTATTTCAGAGGAAGATTAGAGACTCTGGTATAGTCTACTACAGGGGAAAACAACAGGCCAGAGAGACCTTTCTCCTGCTATTTTCACGACTTCCAAGATGTCATAATTTGGACATAATAGCCTGAACCCTATTAGTAGTACTTTAAATAGATTTCACATTGCTATGCTTTCCCAAATATTTACATAGTTTTTATCATAGCATTGCTTCTAGAAGTAGCACAATTAAATTTTGAAATAGTGATTTTTTTTTTTAATACCCTAGTGTCCTAAGAGCAAAACTAACCATATTTATACTGTTGTGCATGAGTATAGAATGCCACTTTAGTTTTGTATAGTTTGAAATGAATTAAACTCCATTTGGGGAGCCAAAGTTCTTTTCAAAATGTTGTTTTCCCAAAATAAGAACTATCTTTGAAATTATAGAATCTTTACTGTTTGTCTAAAACACTCTTTTGAATAGTGTTAAAAAACAAATCTTTGTTCTGATATTAATAAATAATATGAAAAAAATCTGATAATTTAAATATTTGATTATTTTTTATCTTTAGCATTTTGTGTGTGTATTCTACTGGGGATTTAACTTAGGGCAGTGATGGTGAACCCCTCAGAGCTGTCAGTGAAACAGCCTGCTGCAGCATGCATGTCATAGGCTCACCACCACTGACTCAGGGCCTTGTGCCTGCTAGGCAAGAGCTCTAACACTGAGCTGCTTCCCCAGACCATCTTTAGCATTTCAGTTACACAAAAAGATGGTATATAATAATTATTGCTTGAACATATTAAATTCTGATTTCTATTTATGACATTTTAAAGCTTTTCACAAAATTGCTGGCATTGCAAGCTGAAGTTTTCTTACTGTTGAATAAATGTAGATTTTGTACATGGAAAAAAAAAAAGTTAATCATTTAAGAAATCTCCGTCTCAGATACGGTATGTAAATGGCTGGACTATATTTTGGGTCCAGTTTGCTTATATTTCATTTTATCATTATATGTTTAATATTAATATGTAGCATAGGAAGAAAAATTTATAATCTTACTTGTTAATGAGAAGTACTTTAATTTAAAAATGATATTAAAAATCAACATTGAATTTTCCCATTAGATAAAGTCAAAGAAATGATTCCTGAATATACTAAAAGAGTAATTGACTCTATCCCATACCTAAAGTATATTTGTTTCCAGAGACACAAGTTTCCTAATGTAGAGAATCTGAGGCTTAATTATATTCATTTCTGTTGATACCATATTTTACCTTTGGCTGAAATCTACGTGGATAAAATGGCATGGAGGATTTAACAGATATTTAACCCTGATGATGTAGGAGTATTGAAGAGAGAAATATGTAGTATTAGAAACACGACTAACATAACACTTAGAGATGACTTTGGGATTTTTCTTCCCCACAGATTTACTATTAATATATAGATAGAACAGGGACACATTTCCTTGAGTAGTAGTGGCATTGCTAATAGATGTTATTTTATAAAGTTACTGTGCCAATTTTGTGACAGAAGTCTGAAGTCTCAGTTGTTTCCCTGTATATTTTTTAGTGGGGACAGGAGAGAGGTGTTGTTGTGAAAGTGGTCCTTATGACTAATGAACATGGTTTTGTTTTTTAAAATACAATGAATGGGGCCCAGGATTTAGCTCAGTGGTTCCACCTGCCTTGCAAGCATAAGGACCCAAGTTCAATCCATGGTACCAAAAACAAAAGAAAACAAAATACAGTGAATTAATTTCACTTCTGTATTGACGCAATTTTTTTTTAATTTTGAAAGGCCACATTTGTTTGGGATTTTAAGATACATGTGCTTGATCTTTGTTTTTAGATTTTTAAATTCGTATTTTTAAATACTGTATTTACATTGCTTGTCTAATCCAAAGTAGTTTTCTTACACTCTTTTAATTACCTGAATCCTTAAATGCTAGAACTCAAACATAAAAGCTTTGTCTGTACGTACACATGACAAATATCGTAAGATGCAAAAATCTTCCCTTGAGTTTGACCCAAGGTTTTAACTGTTTAAATCTTCTAATAGGTTGGTACAGGTGATTAATCCTCACTTAGTAGTGTAGCTAGTTGCTGTTATTAATGTCATATTTCTTGAAGATCTGTTAGGCAAATTATTTTTATTTCTGTAAGCAAGACTTTAATTTTGGTAAAATCCTACATATAAGCTGTTTATGTTTTTCTTCAGTTATATAAATTGATCATTGAAATTGAAATGGCTATTGAATTATAAATTTTATTTCATATTCTAAAAATATTTACACATTTAATTTTAAAAGTAATCCATTAGGTAATTATTAAGTAATTCATTAGATAATTTTAAAAGTAGTTCATTAGAGAATAATGAATGTCATTCAGCTTCTGGAAACAAGGATTTGTCATCACAGACATAGAAGGTCATCTAATTTAAGCAGAGGTGTACACTAATTTAAATATTACTAATTCTCTTAATGCCTATTCACATAGTATACTTTATCCTCAACCCATAATAAGTCATCAAAGCGGAATTGATACTTGTACTTACTGTTATTTGGCTTGTAAGTGGCAAATGCAAGTATTGTGCCATCTTTCTCCCTTACACTGCTCTACCTCAATGCAAAGGCACTTTTAAAATTTGTTTAATTTTGGTTAAATTTTTAAATCCTTCACTAAATAAGGATTCTACCTACTTTTCTTTTTATTGACTATTAAAACAAGTAAATGAAGGCTGGGGATTTAGCTCAATAGTTCTACTGCCTGCCTCTCAAGCAAAAGGCCCAGAGTTTGATCCCTGGTACAAAAAAAAACAAATGTGTTCGCTTTGTGTATGTAAGTAATATAGATACATGTAGAGTAAGCCAAGAAAGTTACGAGTTACTCCTCTTCCTGCCTTCTAAATCGCTTTATTGTCTACCTTTGTAGAAGTGAATCTTGTCAACAAGTTAGTATGTATCCTAGATTTTTATCAGTGCTTTTATATGCATATATGTGACTTTAAATGTCTTTTGGTAAAATGTGATGATTTTCTTAAAATAAGTTTTTCACATTTCTTATTAAAATTATTTCTAGATGTTAGTTTTTATTGCTATAATAGGATGAGTTTTTTACGAAATACATTATCTAGTTGAGTATAGCCAATATTTAGTTTTTTATATAGTCACTCTCTTTACTGTCGTTAGTTTACAGCTTTCCAAGATATCTTTATCTCATTAGTTGTTTAACTTGTGGCAGTGTTTCTTCTTAAACTGTTTTGATTATTTATTTTTTGAGACAGAGTCTTGCTATGCAGTTCAGACTGGCCTAGAACTCACAGCAATTCTCCTGCCTCAGCCTCCTGAGTGCTGGGAATATAGGCATTATACCACCATGCTCATCTTCTTCTTAAACTTATACCTAGTTTCTTTTTCTTGCCTTATTGCTCTGATCAGAATTTGCAGTTTTGATTTTTTTTGTACTGGGGATCAAACTCAGGACCTTGTGGTAGCGAGGAGGATGCAGTACCACTGAGCTAGATCTCCAGTCCCTGCAGATTTGAGTATTAATGATTGCATCTAACATCCTTTTTGCTTCTTTCCCCCTTTAGTGGAAATATTTTTTACTAAATAAAATGGAAAAAAGTTTTTTTTCTAATTTTGACTTAACAATTTTTAAAAAAAATCAGAGCCAGTTCAAGCCCAGCCTGGGAAACTTGCCGAGTGGCTTAAAATCACTCTCTCTCTCTTTGAGTCTCACCCTGTTTCAGAGTCATAATTTTATTTTATTTTTTATTTTTTTGTTACCAGGGATCAAACTCAAGACCTTGCGCTTGTGAGACAGGTGCGGTGCCACTGAGCTAAATCCCTGGCCCCAAACATAATTTTTTAAAAATTAAGTGCAAAAGGCCTTGGGTACAATTTCCAGTAACATAAAAGAACAGAACAGGTTAAGTTGGGCATAGCGGCATGTACCTGTATTCCAAGCAACCTGGGAGGCTAAATCTGTGCAACATAGTGAGACTACTGTCTCAAAACCAAAAAAAAAAAATTGGGAGTGCATATTGTATTTTATTAAATGTTTTTCCCACATCTATGAAAGGGCAAGTAGCTGGAAGAGTGGTGGCTTATGGATACAGGTTGCTGATATTTAACATATTCCCATCTGCTTGAACTGCTGGTGGTATACACATGACTGTCCTTGTTCAAGTTACCTGGCAATAAGATATAAATTATGGCCCCATCACGAACATGTTAAGTTTTTTGGGGTTTTTTTTTTCATAAATAAAATGAGCATATAAAGTTTATATTACTCTTCCACCTTTGTAGGAAATAGAGCTCTGTTCTGGTTCCTGAGGTTTTTTCCTACATTTTCTTTTACTGTTGTTTCTTATTCTCTTATGTCAGGGTGCCTCTCGCCACTCATAAATTCTTTGATCATATTATATTTGTACTTTTGTTCTCAGAATAACTATTTAACAGTTAACTGAGAAATTATAATGTGCTTAATCTTAGCACTCTGGAAGGCTGAGACAGGGAGATCATGGTTCCTAAACAATTTGGGACTTGGTAAGACCCTGTCTCAAGATAAAAGCTATGTGACAAAGGGGCCAGGGATTTAGCTCAGTGGTTCCAGTGCCTGCTTTTCAAGTGCAAAGTCCCAAGTTTTATCCCCGGTACCAAAACAAAACAAAAAAAGCTATGTGACAAAGTTCTTCAGAACTATAAAAAAAAAAAAAAAAAAGTAAAAATAGAGCACCAATATAAATGTATCATTTTTTTATCAATACTAATATAACCAGCCATTTGAAGTTCTTTTGTTTAGGAGGAGGATTTTCTGATAGGAATATATAGGGTTATTGGGATCACATAGAAATCTCAGCATAGCAGCCAGAGTGTATGATTAGAACTTCAGCAGCAGTTTAAGGTCTTCTGCTGAAAGCCACTTCCCATGTTTTCTTCTGCTTTTATCTTTTAACTACTCAGATTACTTCTGTAATCTTCCTGTCTTTGCTTCCAAATTTCTTTATGAGGTTCTACAGAATTCTACCTTCATGTGTAAAGGATTTTACAGTAAACCTTTGTAGCAAGCAATGTTTTGCCTTCTTACAAAAATGACACCTCTGAAATTATATATTTTGTATAAAGCTTGTGTGAATTTGTAAGCATTAACTATTCTAAATTGAAGAACTTGGTTGGATGTCAAATCTTGGTACTTTTTTTTTTAGTGGGCTTATGTGAAAAAATGGAAGGTTTGCAAGCGTGAATGCTGTTAGTATTTTTTGTTTTAATGATACTAAAGAAGCTCCTCAACTTACAGCAGGATAAGTTCCATTAAAATCATTGTAAATTGAAAATACTGTAAATCAAAAATACGTTTAGAACATATAACCTACTCACTGTCATAGTAGCAATATGATATTACTATAAAGTTATCAGTTGTTTACCACAGTATTCTAGGTAGATAACTGGCAACTACAGTTTACTGCTGCTGCCCATTATTGAGAAGATCATAGCAAATGTTGCTAACCCAAGAAAATAGCACAATGTACAATTTGAAGTACAGTAAAATGTGTATCACTTTGGCATAATTGTAAAATTAAAAAATCCTGAGTTATACCATCAGAAGCTAGGGATCATTTATACTAGCAATTGCAGTCGTAAGTAATCTTGATACTGAATTTATATGTTCAGTTTGAGAATCTTCTTGGATTTTTAAATTCAACTCTTAATTCTTTTCTCTTCAATAAAATGATTTTATTAAAGACTAGATGAATATCTTTGCAATTATAAATTTTATTTGACAATATATATTAGAAAATATCTCAAATGTAATACAGAAAAGATTATTACATTTTTGAGAGATTGTTACAAATATTCCATGACTAGCATTAATAGTACCTCTTTGATATTATAGTTACTGTTTATCTTCTAAACATTTATGTTAAATATTGGGGTTTTTCAGACAAAGCTTATTATTAAATCGTGGGGAAAATATTTTTTCTTACAGTGGTGATCCCTTGTCCAACATGATTCTAACCTTCAGTACCAAAGAAGATGCAGTTGCCTTTGCAGAAAAAAATGGTATGATCTCTTTATTTTTTCTTTTCTTTTTTCTTACATATATAATCAAGATACGATTTTATGTTCTTTAATAAAAGCTATTTAGTAGTATAGATGTGTATTGGAAGAAAGCTTCCACTGAATCTAAATTGGTACTCTATATTTTTTTACTGCATTAGAATACCCCCTCAAAAAAAAAAAATCTGTAAAAGTCAAAATGCCCTAATTTGAAGGGGCAGGGGAATAAAACTACTTGTCTAACACAACACCTACCTCATTTCTGAATCCCTCTGAGCAATCAGTAAAATTTGGTTATGTAAATGCTATAAATGCTAATTGACTGTATCCTAAGGTGGCCTATTTCCTTTTTTTTGGTACCCAGATTGAATTCTCGGGTCCTTGCATTTTCGAGGCAGGTGCTGGAACCACTGAGCTAAATCCCCAGACCCTCAGTTTTGATGTCTGTGTTAAATAGTTCTTTCTTTAAGCCAAAATTTGATGCCTGTTCCTCCATCTAATCGCTCTTAATTACTTGAAAATGGTTACTAATCATATTCACACTTAGAATTCTCTTTAAGCTTAAATATTTTTATTTTCTATTTGTCTAGACATGATAGACCGAATAGCAATTTTGGTTTTTTTTTTTTTTCTTTTTATT